ATTTGATTTGAAACTATCTCATTGCTATTTGTTTCTCAATAAAATTATGAAAAGAAAAGACCAAACAAACAAAAAAAGAAATAAATAGAAAAAAAGAGACAGATCTTATCTTGTCCTATGAATGCCACCATGTCATGAGCCATAGGGCTTCGGTTGTGACCAGGAGTGCCAGCTTCTGCGGTCCTGCCTGGCTTACACGGCAGGACAAGGTTAGCCTTGAACATCCTCTAGACTCAATTTATAATTTGTGATCACCAACATCCACTTGCTTTGTAATTCAGGCTGGCTTTGCACTCACTTGGTAGCCTAGGCTGGCTGTGATCCTCCTGCCTCAGCCTCCTGAGGGCTGGGATTACAAGTGTGTGCCACCATGCCTGGCAAATCCTCTCCATTTTGATTTTATGGGCATCACCTGAGTTGTAGCCAGGGTATACCCTGCCACATGCTCCTCTTCTCACTCCTCTTCTAAGAGCTTTTGCTTCCCTTCTTGGCCCCTTGCTGTACACTCACATGATTTTTCAAGGGGATGTTTGCTGGCTGAGGCCCCTCTCAGACACTGCATTTGTATCTGCCCTCCGCTTACCAGATGTAACATGTCTCCCTCCATCCAGTGTCTCCAGCCCCGGTTGGGGACCTCGCCTTTCTGTACACACACCAGCTGCTCTTCTTCCCAGGTCACTATAGTCTGAGGAAGAGATAAAGGAAGACAGGGAGGCAGAGTACCCCAAGTGCTTTTCCAGCCTCCATTTGGGGACAGGTGCTCTGCTTCAGCAGGATGCCCCTCCTCCCCTCCTGACAGCCCCCAAATATGGTGACATTTGGGGAGAGCAGGGGAGAAGCAGGGGTGAAGTTGGGGAGAAAGAATGGAGGGTTCAACTTCTGATGCCTCCAGGTGACCCAGAGGGACTTTGGAGGAAAGAGAGATGGGAGCAACTGGCCTCTTTCAAGTCCAAGGATGCTAGGAACGCAGGACCTGGGCATCCCAGGGGATAGCCTGCTGAGCTCAGTTTCCACCGAAGAGGACCACTGCCTCCTGGAAGCTAGGCCACCTGGCAAGTGCCAACATTGGGCCTGGGAATGGGGAGTGAGGGAGGAGCCAACTCTTCAAGAAAGATGGGAATGCATTAGATTGGAGATACATAACTGGATTTTTTTTAGTAATAACTGGACATTTTTAATAAGGAAAGAAATAGCATAGAAGAAAGGTTTCATTGTTCTGAAGGGCTCTAACCTAGTCTGTATTTGGGAACACCACGAGGAGCTGGTTCCTAAGTCCTGAACTGTGTGCTCTTTTGGGTGCATGGGTTTTGTCTGGAATAGGTCATCCCCAAAAGGGTTGAAATTAGGGAAAACGTGGCCACTTTTACAACACAGATGGACCTTGTGGCTGTAATGTACAGAGTGGTGGAAGGTTAAGATTGGGGGACCAACTTGGGTATCCAGTGAGAAAGGTGTTGTAGTGAGAAAGAGCAGGAAGGAATAGATGAGAAACATTTTAAAAAGTGACATTTCACTAGAAAAAAGACAAAAATGCAAATTACATGTAGAAAGCACGTCTAGGAGCTTATTAGAAAAGGAAAAAGAAGTAGATGAACTCAATTTTAATAATATGTTTTATTTAACTTAAAATAGTAAGAAATAGTATTTCAGTATTGTGACCAATATAAACATTTTTGAAATTTTTTTTGGATACTGCTTAAAAATCCAGGCCTGGTATGGTGGCTCATGCTAATAATCCCAGCATTCTGGGAGGCTGAGGCAGGAGAAACACAAGTTTGAGTCCAGCCTGGGCAACTCGGTGACATCCTGTCTTAAAATAGAAAATCAAAAAAGGATTGGAGGTGTAGCTCAGTGTGATGGCTCTGAGTTTAACCACATAAGAAGGGGGAAATATAGGAAGGTAGGCTTGTGCATGCTAAATAAAAGAAGCTGGGTGTAGGGGTGCAGGTTTGTAGCCTCTGGGTTTAATTCCCAGTACTGAAAGGAAAAGAAAGGAAAGAGAGAAGAAATAGAAATAGAAAAATCCAGCTCTACTTTACCTTTGTAGCGCATTTGGACAAGGTACCTGTCACATGTTCAACAGTCATTTGTAATCAGTAGCTACTGTACTGGACAGTGCAAAAAGGTTGTATCAGAAAGATTTCTTAAGGTGGGCTGTGTGTGTGTGTGTGTGTGTGTGTGTGTGTGTGTGTGTGTGTGTTGGGATCACAGAAGTAGGAAAACAAGAGACTTTGCTTATGACTCCTGGTCTAACTGGTTATTGCTATTAACAGAGACAGTAAATACAAAAATGGTTTGTGCAAGAATGTAATGAATTCAAGTTTGACCTTGGGGCACTCAGATGGAAATATTTTGCAGACAGCTGAAAACATCATCCTGGAGCTCAGGAGATGGCTCTGGCTGGAGAAGAAATGTCAAGGGCAGTTTACAGATGACGGCAGAAAGCATGTGTGTAGATTTTTCCGAAGAAGGGTGTACAGACAAGAAAGAGAAGGGTAAGGACAAAAAAAGTGGGTAAAAACTGCAGTTTAAGGAATTAATAACAAAACTACTGTCTGTAACAGGGAGTCAACAAGAACCACATAGAAGTAGGGGAAATGTAGGAAAGTAGGGTTTTGGATGCTAAATAAAAGAAGCTGGGGGTGCAGGTTTGTAACCTCAGTACAGCCTAGAAGGCTGAGGCAGGAGGGACACAAGTTTTAGGCCAGTTTGTGTGATTTAAGCAACTCAATAGGACACTGAAATAAAAAAAATAAAAAGGAGCTGGAGATACAGCACAGTGTGAAGGCCCTGTAATGGAAAAAGGGAGACCGTGGTCACTCACAGCGTCATAGGCTGAGGGCCAGCAAATGTTTGCTGATTGGCCTGGTACAGGCACTCTATTTTTTTTTTCTCTCTTTTGGCTGATGATAAGAGGGGACAGGGAAGAAGTAGGAAGGGGGAGGAGGATGGGGAACCAAGACCCTGTTACTCCAGCCTGGTACCCTAGGGGTGCCATGGCTTTCTGCAGTGGTTCCTTCCCTTGGCTATGGCTGCGAGATCCCTGTGGTTCAGCCACACTGATTGGAGGCACTTTCCCCACCCTCAGGAAAATACCTGGCATTTCCGTCCATCCACGATCCTCAGATCCTCTTCGAACTCAACTCCCACTTCGAATTCCATGACATAGTTGCGAAAGGTGCTGAGGGTCTTCACTACCATGTGGTTGCCCTGGTGCTTGATCTCCTTGTCTGGCTTCAGCAGCAACACTATCTTCCGCAGAGCCACATTGATGTCTGTGGGGGCTGAGTCTTAGCCAGGCTGGGCCAGTCCAGTGTTCCCAAAGCAGCACCTCAGCCTGTCAGTGGTGCCTAGGGCCAGTCTGGCCTGCTCCTAATAAAGCCTCTTCATGAAAATGGATCCCACCCAAGTGTCCCCCAGCATCCACCCTCAGGCCCCCTTCTCAGTGGGACCCTGAAGTGGGGAAAGGGGAGGAAGTGCTGGGAGGGAGGAGGAGTTACTTAGGGCCTGCAGGTAGTCCTCCAGGTTCTTCTGTGAGACAAAGCGGTAGTAGCCCGTGAGGTTGGGAGGCATATTTGGGTGGTCAAGCTGGAGCCCAAGCCTGTAGGCGAATGCAGGAGACTGGGTGTGAGAACGGAAGGGGTGCTATCAGTGGCTGACCAGCCCCCACCACAAAGGTCACTGGCCAGGGCTTTATACAGGGCTAGGGCCTTGCTGCAATAAGAGTCCCTCCTCCCTCCCTGGGATTGGTTTGGGACTTAGCAGAGCCAAGTCTCACCTCTGCTTTTCCTGGGGAAGGAACCCAGAGAAGGTTTGGGGCTGTGAATCATTTAAATGCATGCCTTTCTCAAGGTCCCTTTCAGCCTCAGCTCATTTCGGGAGGACTGGGAGCCCTGAGTGGGGCTGTCTCCCCCACAGGCCATTGTGGCTGGCCTGGCTGTGTAGGGCGAGGATGAGTTCCAGCACATCTTGAGCTCCTGGGGCAGAGTTGGGGTTGCTGAAAGATGCAAGGGAAGGAGCAAGTGGAGACAGCTGCATGGGAATCACGCCGGGAAGACAGCCCTGGAGTTCTTCAGGTGGCTGGCTAAACTGGAGCCCCAAGCTGGCAAGCTGGGCTCAGCCCTAGGTAGTAGTGGAAGGAGGCCATGAGCCTGGCTGTCTGGAAACCTGCTTCAGGTCTGGAGAGGGTGAGGGTCCTGGCTGGCTTTTCTGGAAAATCTTATTCTCTTCCCCTTGGGACCCAGGAGTTCCTGCTCCTGAGTCACCCAGGCACACACTGCCCATACTTAGCAGGTGTGTTCCCACAGGGGTGTGCTAGGACACTAAAATGATGGCACACCCTTTCCCCACCCACCCACTGCTCTTTCAAACTGGAGTGTCTGGTGCCTGGCTTCTGAGGCTACTGGGTTGCTCTACCGTGATTTAAGATAGGGCATCTGGGTAGGGGGCAGTAGGAGGTCAGCCTGACACTCCAGCTGTGTAACCTGTCCTGAAAGACGTGTGTGCCTGGGTGAGAGCACAGCTATGTCACTTGAACTCCAGTGCCAGTGCCCTTCCCGGTCCTGTCCTGACCCTCCAAGCGTTTCCTTTGCCCCCTTGGTCTGGGAACGGAAATGCTGGGATTTCTCCGGTTTAGGGTGAAGGATTTACTTTGCAGTTCCCAGAAGGCACGCAGCAGGGACTTGTGGATGGAATGGGCTGTGAAAAGAGGTTAGTGCAGAGTTGGGGGTAGGTGTCGTGAATGCTGCCCCTCCGGGGCGCCCCCTCAGGTCTCCATTGACGCCTCCCTCTCCCACCCACTGGCTTCGAGCATCTCCCTCTCTGATTGTCCCTCAGTCTCCCGCCCCCTCTATGACTTCCCAGCTTCCTCCTCAGCCCCCGCAGTTCCTCTGCTCCCCCAAATTGCAGTCCCGGGAAAAAACCCTAACACGTTCTCCCGCCCCTGCTCTCGGGTCCCATTGGCTCCCTGGCCCCCTGCAGCACCTGGCGCCCCCAGTTACCCGATTGGCCAGTGGCCTCATCAATCCTCGCCTGGCCGTGCTGACGTCATCCTGCAGTAGCAGGGATGGGGTGGGAGTGAGAGAGAGAGAGAGAGAGAGAGAGAGAGAGAGAGAGAGAGAGGACGCTGGGCTCCAGAGGGCTCAAGAGAAGCAGGTCTTCTCTCAGCCACCAGACCGGCGTCCTCCAGGCCTACCGTATGGACTAGTGCTGGCGGTGGGCTCTTTCTGTTACTGTCCCTGACCTCTCCTCCCGGGGAACCCCTGCATCCTTCTCCTGAGGGCGAATCAGCAGGCTCCAGGTTCCCAGGGGACAGCGGTTGCCAGGTCCAGCCCTGACCCCCTCGCACCATGACCCTCCTGCTGCTGTCCCTCCTGCTGGCCTCTCTGCTCCCACCCGGCTCAGGCAACAAAGGTGAATGCGTGGGGTGAGGGTGCTGGGCGAGGGGGTCAGGGGAGCTGCGTGGGGGTGGGGTGGGTGGAAGGCCCGGGCTTCTGCACCTGACAGGTGGCCCATTCTCCCTACCGCCCTCTTCCCATCCCTTTCCTGATCCCTCTTCCTTCCTAGCTGCCTCCTTTTCAGGGTGTCATCCTGCCCCTGACTCATCTCTACCCATGTGCTCGCTGGTCCTCTCCTCCCAGGTGGTCCCATTCCCGCCCAGGGGTCTCTCTGCCCTGTCTCTTAGTTTCTGGCCCTGGTGGGTATCTCAGGCCTTTAAGGACTTGGCCCAGGGGTCTGCGCACCCTCCTGTCCTGGGTCCCTGCTTTCCCGGGGTGTGTGCACACGAAGCGTGTGTGCAGCGGCAGCCCCGTCTGCTCCTCTCCCTCCCATCCTGGGAGGAAGCTGCAATTCGGAGCACGTCTGTTTTGGCGTGGTCCGCTGCACCCCTACCCGTCTGCCTGCACCGGCTGGGCTGTGGATTAGAGTCGCCTTCTCCGGCAGACAGGAGATGAAATTCGGCTGGGAGAAGCCCCAGGCAGAGGGCTAGAGGGAGGCGCAGCAGGACTGTGGAGTAGGGGCCAGGCAGGTGGGAGGGAGAAAGGTGGGGAAAGCGGGAGTGGGTGTGTGGGGTGCTGTGTGAGTGGGGAGAAGGACCGCTGAACAAGGGGGAGAGGGCAATGAGGCGTGGGTGGGAAGTAAGGGGAGAGGAAAAGGTAAATAAAGGTAGAGGCAGAGCAGGAGGGATGGAAGGAAAAGCAGGAGGAAAGGTGAGAAGATGAGGACAGGAGACGAGTGACAGGGAAGGACACGGGAGACCCGGGCCCAAGAGAGGGGAGCAGGGAGCCCAAGGGGGCTCAGGGAGCAGAAGAGCAGCAGGGCTGGAAGGTGGGCTGTGGAGAAGGTGCCCAGCTCTGCCCCCTCCCTGTCCTAGCCCTCTGCGCTCTTCTCGCCTGGCAGGAGCTTCTGGCTCCTGAGCGTCCTGCCACTTCCTGTACGGCCTGTATGCACCATCTTGTGGCTTTCTCCCAGCCATTAGGGAAGGGGCTGTGGTGGTCATCAGGGAGAGGGAGGCAGGGGCTGGCAAGCAGATGGCAAGGAGCTGCTGGGGTGTGGCCGGGGGGAGAATGGCAGCAGGATTTCTTGCTCACTGTGAGACCCTGAGGATGAGGGTTGGTGACTCAGTTTCCTCCTGCTAGTATGTCCTCTCCCACCTTCGTCCAGCTGATGTGCTGTGGTGAATGGGCTTTGCCTGCTTGTGGGCAGAGGGAGAGAAGGAAGGGAACCCAAGGAGCCCAAGGAGCCCAGTAGGTGATTGGTCCTGGGGACCAGATGCACACTTGAGTTAGCAAAAGTGTGCCAGGAGTGGGGGAGATGGGTTCTGACTAGTCACACCTCCATCCTGACTTGGCTGCTGATTGAAGGGAAGAGGGGTGGTGTGGACTGAAATTGGGGTTAAATCTTGGGTCTGTGTCACAGGTAGGATGAAGAGTGTGGCATTTGGAAGCCTTGAAGAGGACACAGCACTGTGCTCCTTGTGACTGCTCTCCTGGGTGTGGGAGTGGGAGCAGGGAGGGCAGGATTGGCTGTGTTTCTAGGCCAGCTCAATAATCCCTTAGGATGAGGGCTCTGCTGGGTTCCCAGTCTAGAAAACTGAATGATTTAGTGAGCTTTGTCTCAAGATAAATAAAAAGGGCTAGGAATATAGTTCACTGAGAAAGATCTGGGTTTAATCCCCTGTACTGAAGGGGTAATGTCTGCCATTTGGTGTTGGTTCCTGTTCTCAGCTCCTGCCCCTTGCTGTCCCCTCCTTCTATCCTAAATACCCTTCCTTCTTTCCTTTCACTTCTTCATTTGCTGTAGAAGTGTGAAGTGAAATGGGGTGGGGGTGCCGAGGAGATAGCTCACCTGCCTGGCAGACACAAGGTCCTGAGTTCCATTCCTGGTAAAGAAAAGAAATAGGGTGGAAGAGAGGATAAATGGTCAGGATCTCAGGAAACTTCTAAATTTTTACTCTGTCCTGTGCTGATCCCTTTTCTTCCCAGGGCCTTTGGGGGCTCACACTACTCCCAGAGTTCCCAGTGTCCATTCCCTAGAAAGTGAAGTCCCTGAGGATTCTTCACCTGAGCTGGGTGTGGTGCACACACCTGTAAACCTGCTGTTCTGGGAGGATGAGACTGGAGGATCCCAAGTTTGAGCCCAGCCTAGAAAACTGAATGATTTAGTGAGCCTTGTCTCAAGATAAATAAAAAGGGGTAGGACTATAGTTCACTGAGAAAGACCTGGGTTTAATCTCCTGTACTGAAGGGGTAAGGAGATTCTTTATCCCTAACCATGGTTCCTAGGGCAGATAGTGTCCCTGTTCTCCAGGGTGGGACAGTTGCCATGGAAACTGTCCTGTTAAAGGATAAGGTGGTGGCTTCCCACAGACCTCTGGACTCCTTCTGTGCTGGTTTCTTGTCCTCATCACCTGCAAGGTGCTCTGGCAGGGACTGAGGTGTCTGGGTCGACAAGGGTTGTCTTGGGAGTGGGGGTTCCACTCACAGGTGCTTTTCCTCCTCCCTCTGGGGTGCGGTCACAGCCAACAAGCACAAGCCATGGATCGAGGCAGAGTACCAGGGCATTGTCATGGAGAATGACAACACTGTCCTGCTGAACCCCCCACTCTTCGCCTTGGACAAGGATGCCCCCCTGCGCTATGCAGGTAATTGGGGCTGGGAAGGGTGGGGGGCAGAGGCAAAGGAGCAGGAGCAGGAAGGAAGTAGGGGGACCCTGGCAGGCATGAGGCTGAACATGTTCTGATTTTGTGTGTGTGTGTGTGTGTGTGTGTGTGTGTGTGTGTGTGTGTGTAACTGGGGATTGAACTCAGGCCCTTGTGCTTGCCAGGCAAGCGCTTATTCTACTGAGCCATCTCCCCAGCCCCAATGTTCTGAATTTGCCAGACCTCAAGGCTGGTGGCTTCCAGAGGCTGCTGCTCAGGGAAGCTGGATGGAGTGATTGGAGATGTACATCCAATCACTGATGCTTTCAAGGTTGCAAGAGAAGAAGTAGAGAGGTGGAGCTGCCCCTGGGAGGCGTAGTGCCCAGGGGAGGGAAGGGGCAGCCATGGCTGGACAGGAGCCTCTTGCCTTCCCTTCCTCCTCCTTTTCTCCTCACCAGGTGAGATCTGCGGCTTCCGGCTCCATGGGTCTGGGGTGCCCTTTGAGGCTGTAATCTTGGACAAGGCAACAGGAGAGGGGCTGATCCGGGCCAAGGAGCCAGTGGACTGCGAGGCCCAGAAGGAGCACACCTTCACCATCCAGGCCTATGACTGTGGCGAGGGCCCTGATGGGGCCAACACCAAGAAGTCCCACAAGTGAGGAAGGCCTGTCCCCTGCCTGGTTGGCCTGGCATCCTCCTTCTTGCTCCTGCACCCCTCAACACGCTCTGTCCATGCCTCACTGACTGTCTACCCCATGCTGCTATTGAGAGGGTTTAGGGACCTTCAGTCAGGGTGGCCAGCAGGACATAGAATTCAGTAGAGTTTAGTCCTGGCTTTGCCGTCACAACTTTGGACAATTTATATAGCCCTTTCTGGACCTGGTCTTCCTTGAATGGAAAGGTTGCTGGGAAGATTGATGATGATGATGATGATGATGATGATGATGATGATGATGATGATGATGATGATTTTGTGGTGCTGAGGGTTGAACCCAGGGTCTGATGCATACTAAACAAGTGCTGTACCATTGAGCTACACCCCCAGCCCTACTGGGAACAGTTCGTGTAACAGTGCCTGCCTCGTGGCAAAGGGCTTAACACACATGGGAGTCATGGCAATAAGGAGGACAACAAGGACTCAGCACACTCAGCACACATCCAGGTCCCTTTCAACTGCCCGAGCCAGGGAATTTACAGAGCGTAGCATGTTCATGGTCATCCTCACACACACACGCGCGCGCACACACACACACACACACACACACACTTCTAGATGGGATGAGCACAGGATAGTTATAGCACAAGGAAGCCTGGGTCCAGACATCTACATCTGACCAGGCTTACTTCTCACCTCAGCAGAGCAGTCAGGATTGCTAGGCACCAAGAGGCGTTGGCCATAGCACACTCTTTGTGACTCAGTTACCCATTTGGAGATAGGACCTTTGCCTCTGGGCACTGGGCGCCTGGATCCTGGCCAGGAGTAGAGCTCAGCATGATATGTCTCGGCCCACCTCTGCTTGCCCAGGAAGGTGTGTGAGCGGGTAGAGGCCGCGGCTGAGCCACACGTGCAGGGAGCGCAGCCCCTGCTCACTCATACTGCTCAGAGCGACCATGGTCTGAGTTACAGGGTTTGGACTAGTGCTGCTTCCTCGGGGCAGGTTTTCATTGGTTTTTACACTGCGTCTCTTGTGATTCTCCCATTGTATCTGGCCTGATGTGTTTTGTCACGTCCTCAGGTTGGCCCCTGACTTTCTGTGCCATGGCTATCATCAGAGTCCACTCAGGCACCTCCTAGGGCATGTTCCTTTTCCCTTCATCAGTGCCCCATTCTTGGGCCTGCTCATTATGGGGCTGGTCTCTGGCATGGCTTTGGTATAGGCTGGTGCCCTGTGTTGGTGACGAGCAAACTAGTGGGTAGATGGGCTCCCTCGTGCTCTGCCTCCCTGTTTAGATGCCCACCCATGCCTCTCCCTGGGTGAAAGGCTGGCTAATGCGTCCTTGTCTGTCCCCCTGCTCTGATTCATACAGGGCCACCGTGCATGTGCGGGTCAATGACGTAAATGAGTTTGCCCCAGTGTTTGTGGAGCGACTGTACCGTGCTGCAGTGACTGAGGGGAAGCTCTATGATCGCATCCTGCGGGTGGAAGCCATTGATGGTGACTGCTCCCCCCAGTACAGCCAGATCTGCTACTATGAGATCCTCACGCCCAACACCCCCTTCCTCATTGACAACGATGGTGAGTCTACTCCCAGGCCCCCCGCTGCCGAGTCCTGTGCACCCACAGCCTTTAGGACAGTGTTCTTCCTTTCTCCTGCCCCTCAAGCCCTCTTGTCACCCTCCGTTCCTGATGTGCAACCGTTTTCTCCCAGACACGTTCCCTGCTTCCTGCCACCTAATCTACCTGTTGCCCAACTGTATCAAATCCTCCCTTTGCCTGCTGGGCTTTTGCTAGTGAACCTGACCTGTCCCTGCTGCCTCATTCCCACCCCAGGGAACATCGAGAATACAGAGAAGCTGCAGTACAGCGGTGAGAAGCTCTACAAGTTCACAGTGACAGCATACGACTGTGGGAAGAAGCGGGCAGCAGATGATGCTGAGGTAGAGATCCAGGTGAAGCCCACGTGTAAACCCAGCTGGCAAGGTGAGGAGCTCTGCCCCGTGAATCTTATGAATCGTCTTTCACCTTGGCTTCCCTCTCTGTTCTCTGTGACAGTCACGGGGCTTGGCTAAGGGTTGGGGATATTTGTGGGCAGGCTTCTAGCTCAGCCAGGCCATTTTCTCAGTGTCGCTGACTGGGAGTCAGGAGGAGGAGGAGGATGGATGGCTGAGGCTGCTTACCTTCTCTCTGCACTGCCCTTTTTGTCTCCCATTGCAGGCTGGAACAAAAGGATCGAATATGCTCCAGGTGCAGGAAGCTTGGCTTTGTTCCCTGGTATCCGCCTGGAGACTTGTGATGAACCGCTCTGGAACATTCAGGCCACCATAGAGCTGCAGACCAGCCACGTGGCCAAGGGCTGTGACCGAGATAACTACTCAGAGCGGGCCCTGCGGAAGCTCTGTGGTGCGTGTGCCCCTCCTCCCAACACTTCCCCAGGCCAGGTCCTCGCCAAACACTCTCTCCCCTTTCCTGAGAATCTGCCTTCCACCTCTTCTGGTTCTGGGCTGGAATGTGTATCAGCAGAGGTTGTGGCCCAAAAGGCAGGTAGATATATGTGTGGCAAAGATGCATAATCCTTGCTTGAGTCATTAGATAGATGAGGGGACAGTAGTAGGAAGAGTAGAAGAGTTGGCTAATGGGTTAACTGGTCGGGAGTTCCTCAGTGAGAAGTGTGTCTCTTGTGTCTCTGAAAAGCAAAGGGGAGTGAGGCTAGCTGTAGGAAATCTTAGCCCTGCACTCTCTTCCTGCCTCCTCCCTATCCCTCCGCTGTGCCTCTCAACACTAACACTTGTGTCTCTTGGGCCCCCACAGGTGCGGCCACAGGAGAGGTGGACCTGCTGCCCATGCCAGGACCCAATGCCAATTGGACAGCAGGGCTTTCGGTGCACTACAGCCAAGATAGCAGCCTTATCTACTGGTTCAATGGCACCCAGGCTGTGCAGGTGCCCCTGGGAGGCACAGCTGGGCTGGGCTCTGGACCCCAGGACAGCCTCAGTGACCACTTCACCCTATCCTTCTGGATGAAGCATGGTACAACTCCCAGTAAGAAGGAGGGCAAGAAAGAAGAGGAAACTATCGTGTGTAACACAGTCCAGAATGGTGAGCCTTCCTCAGTGTGCTTGTCTGTGAGTGCGAAGCTGGTTTCTTGTCCTGCATCTGTCATGCCCAGCGGACAGGTCATTTCCCCTCTCTTCATTTGTGAATTGCAAATGCAACTTCTTTCCCTCTCTCCTTCCCTCTCTCCTTCCCTCTCTCCTTCCCTCCTCCTTTCCTCTTCCTTCCTTTCTTCCTTCCTTCCTTCCTTCCTTCCTTCCTTCCTTCCTTCCTTCAAGAGGGTCTTGTTAAGTTGCTTAGGCTAACCATGAGCTTGCCATTCTCTTGCCTCAGCCTCCCAAGTAGCTGAGGTTACAAGCCTGCATCACCACAACTGGATCAGTACTAGTCCTCATACTCTTTGACCTTTTAGGACTTATCCCCAACATGACATATTGGAATCCTGCCTTTAGTACAGTAGGATTTCTCTCTATCATTTTCATTCTCATTATTAGCTATCCATTCAATCCTCCTGCATCCCACCTGATAGTGGGTTGCCCCATCTGTGCTCCTATGAGAGCCCCTCCACTGCAGTGGAAGATTCTGGGTCACCGTGAGCCTGTTTCTTTCTCTTCCATCACTAGCCCATCCTCCTCCTCTAAGGGCTAATTGCCCTCTCTCCAAGTACCCATCTTCCCTCCAGGGAGGGCTCAGCCTTGACCTGCTCTTTTATTTCCAGCCAATTCTCTGCCCTCATTTATCTTGACCTGAAAAGGGTTGTCACCCATGATGTGTGTATGAACCAGAGGACCAGGCGGGTCAGTGTTCCCTGTCGGTCAACCGGAGCCCAAAAAGCCCTAGTTATACTTGGACTGGGGTGTGTGTGTGTGTGTGTGTGTGCGCGCGCGCGTGTGTATGAGAGAGAGAGAGAGAGAGAGAGAGAGAGAGAGAGAGAGAGAGAGAAGGAAATGCAAACACAAGAAACAGATTGAGAGAATTCCTGCTCTTAACCCTACCGGCTTTGACTCCCACTCTCCCCACTGCTGTTTGGAGTTTGTTCTTGCCTCAGGCTTGTGCCTGACCCTGTCCCTATCGTGTCCCCTCAGAGGATGGCTTCTCTCACTACTCACTGACCGTCCATGGCTGCAGAATTTCTTTTCTCTACTGGCCCCTGCTTGAGAGTGCCCGCCCTGTCAAGTTCCTCTGGAAGCTGGAACAGGTGAGCTGACTTGGGGCTTGGGGCTGGGTGGGTGTAAACAGCTGAGAGGGCTCCAGGGCAGGGCTCAGCATTTCCTGGGCTGTCTCTTGCCCTCCTTCCTCTTTACTCTCAGTCCCAACCCCTGAGCTCCAACATCTCTCATGTCTCCTTCCAAGGATTGGACCTTAGAGAAGTCTTCTGGAATTAAATAGCAATAGACAAGTAGTTCCCGCCGACCCCAAGCCCATCCCACCATCCCCTCCCCCCATGTTTTGTTTCATCTCCTTCTTATCTAGAATTCTGTTAGTGTTCCTGACTCTTAGAATTGTAACCACGAAATAAGTGAGGGTGAGCTGCACAGATGGGGTTTGCTGTCAGGGAGCTTGCTATGCATGAAATCTTGGTTAATATGTCTAAGCTTCAGGGGTATAAAAAAAACATTAAATAGGGATAAAAAGAATTCAATATCCCAGGGTTGCTGTAGGATTAAATGAGATAGTAGAACTTTATAGACAGAAAAGCACTTTACACAGTAAACCCCTAACTTAGGAGTGGGTTTGGTTCCTGGAGAATGTTCCTAAGTCGAATTTGTTCACAAGTCCGACTACCCCTTTGACATAAATATACAATGTAAAGCATAAAAAACCACACCCACACACCCACACAAACACACACACAAATGCTATAAATAAACTTTTTACCTGGAAACACACAAGTTACTCCCACAACTTGTACAGAATGCTTGTAGTGCGAGGGCCGTTTGTATCTGTGACAGTTTACAATTTGAAGGTTGAAAGTTGTAAGCTTACTGTACATGTTAGTTGTCACTATTTCTGTCCATAATTATAAAGGATAAATAAAAAGAGACAAAAAATTTAGGTTCTTTCTTGAGCCAACAGTGATGGCCTCTTTTCTTTCTTTCTTTTTCTTTTTTTGGTGGTATTGGGGATTGAACTCAATTCTTTTGCACTGTCTACATCCCCAGCCACTTGTAATTTTTAGACAGGGTCTCACGAGTTGCTTAATTATCTGGGCTGGGCTCAAGCCTGCGATCCGATGCTGTCCCAAGCCATCTGGGGCTACTGTTAGTGCCGCACGCGCCTGGCTCAGCAGCACTTTCTTTGTTCAAGCTTTCGGCTCACAAGGAGTAGGGAGGACTGATTTCAGGCTTTACCTTGTAATCCCCTTGCAAGTCCTGGTAGTGGCTGAAAAACACAAACAAAAGGCAAAGACTGGAAGAGAAAGAGAAACTAAGGACTTAAAAAACCAAAGTGGGGGGCCTGGCCCTAGCTCAGTTTAGGTGGTGACCTGGCGCGGCGGTGTCCACGCCGGGCTGTGGAGTGCAAGGTCGCCGGTTCGCGCCCCCGTCCGGACTCTTTCTCTGGGGCTGGTGAGATGGCTCAGTGGTCTAAAGCACCTACTTAGAACAAGCTTAGCAAAGCACAGGGACCGTGGTTCGATCCCCCAGCACCACATGCCAGCGAGCCCTGCCCCTAGGTGGGCTGAGCTGGCCACACACACACACACACACACACACACACACACACACACAATAAATAAATAAACTTTAAACAAAAACAAAAACAACCCAAAGTGGACCTTAGTGGGCTGTCCTGTAAGGAGAACCTGCCGCTTTGTCCCATGTTACTAATATTGTTCACATTGCCTGTTTGATTTCTCTTTAACTTACTTTCAGTTTATTAAACAGAAAATCTAGTAAATTCCAGTTAAATTCCTGTCATTCTGTTAGGTTCTGGTGATACAAAGGAATATTACATAGAACAAAATCTTCGTGTTCACTGAGCTTATGTTTTAGTCGGGGAGATTGTGTGTGTGTGTGTGTGTGTGTGTACGGGCATGCATGCTGGGGAATCACAAGGCATTTGGCATGTCAGGCTGTATTACTGAACTACATTACTGATCCTTAAAGGAACAAATTTTAAAAAGCTAAACAGGGCTGGGGAGTGTAACTCAGGGTTGAACTGGAGCTTCACATGCCAAGCACCAAACAACCCAATGTTAAATGTACAGAGTGGGAATGGGCAACAAAGGACTGGAGTTGACCATGGGGAAGGTAAGAAGAGAGCAACTCGACTCAGATGGGAAGGCCAGGGAAGGGCTGACTGAGGTGAAATTTCAGCTTCATCCCAGAAGATAAACAGGTACCAGCTGACAGTGAGAAGAGAGGGGGAAGCGTCCCTGGCAGCGGGAACAGCAGATATAAAGGCTCTGAGGCAGGAAAGAAGGCCAGTGAAGCAGGGGACAGAGCGGAAAGGCTGGAGATGAAGTTGGGGAGGTCAGTGATTGGGCACAGACTGGACTTTTGTCAGCTGAAGTTAGGGAGATGAGAAGCCTTTTTTTCTTGGGAGGGTTTAAAGCTGAGGTGTAAGCTGATCAGATTTAATCAAGACTCCATTGACAACTAAGGGAGAACTATGGTAAAGTCAGAGGAGTGGAAGTGAACAGACAGGACTGCTGTCAGAGTGCTCAGGAAAGGGGCTGGGGACTTGACTGGTGTGTGTGGCTGTGGAGATGGAGAGACTTGCACAGGAATCCACAGCTTCCGGGGCTCTTGGGGACCGGGATTGACAGCACCAGCTTGTGGGTTGGAGTTGGAGGGGGAGGGGAAGAGGGTACCAGCTACTTGAACAACTGGATGGATGGCAGCACCCATCATACTCTGAGTAAACTGGGGCCAAGGGAGAGGGGTATTGCAAGACATCTGAGCGGAAACCAGGTGTTCAGAGGAGAGTTCTGGGCTAGAAAAGGAGATTTTTGGAATTACCAGCATAGATATGTAATCTGAGCCTATGGGAACAGATGAGGTAACCTGAGGAAGGCAGTGAGGAGAAGGGAAGAGGGCCTAGGTTTGAATCCTGAGCGAAGTTGATAAAGTTGGTTCTCTGTGCCCACCTTTTCCGGTTTCCACCCCCAACTGGCTGACCCTAGGAGATTCTGCAAAGGGAAGGAACATTTGTTTCAATGGTTCCCATTGAGTAGCAACTGCTCCAGCAATTCCAGTATGAGACATACGTACTTAAGTATTTTTGGAGAAATTTGTCCACAACATAGTTTTATGCTTATAGTGCTTTTGTATTTTTGTAATGGGGTCTTGCTATGGCCTTGTGCCCCTGAGATCCAGAGACCCCTCCTTGCCTCCACCTTTCGCGTAGGTCGGCTCACAGGCTTGCACACTGTGGTGCCCAACTCTGTTTATAGTTTTAAAAGTTTACCCAACTAGTGGAATTTTCCACACTAAGTTGGTTGTCCAGTAGACTTTGGACAGGAATGTTGTTTCTTCATTGGAGCTTGGTAGAAGTGGGAATATGCAGGGCTATCAGGTCTCCTAGGAGATGGGGCTATGCTTGGGGTTAGTTCTCTAAGAGGGAGTAACTGAGAATTTCTCATCCACATCCTGCTCCTCAAGGTCTGTGATGAAGAGTGGCATCATTATGCGCTGAACCTGGAGTTTCCCACAGTCACACTGTATGCTGATGGCATCTCCTTCGACCCTGCTCTCATCCACGACAATGGCCTCATCCACCCACCCCGGAGGGAGCCTGCACTCATGATTGGGGCCTGTTGGATGGGTAGGTTCCCCACCTTTTAGCCGAGATGGGAAGTTTCAGGGTAGTGAGAGGAGAGAGGCTGGTAAGGAGTGTGGGAGCACAAGTCCCTGCAGTTGGGTGGGTTGCTCTGAACCATGTCACTGGGGCCTCCCATGTCTTTACCACCATCTGACATGGTGGAATTCCCTTCTCAGGTGTCCACTGAATCTTACTTCCTCCAACTTCAAGCAGTTTCCACTTTGTTCTGACAAAGTGATGTAGATTTCCATAGCCCACTTCCCTCACGGGGGACTGTGATCCTTGAAAGTGTCATCAGCCTTCCCACTTTTAGGCATTTCTTACATATTTGTCCCCTGGGAGTGCATGCATGTGCCTCTCTGGCCAGGCCCTCATGTATCCCCTGCAACATATTTGGGGGAGTGTCTGTAACAGAGACCTGGAAATTTGGGGTACAACAAAAATAAGGTTGGGACTCAGCTGAGAGGTTGCCAGTCCTAGTGGGTGTGAGGACTTCTCATTCCCTCTTGCCTATCCATTCCTTCACCCTGAGATCATTGCCATTGTTTTTGTCCTTAGAAGAGAAGAACAAAGAGAAGGAAAAGGGAGGAGACAACAGTACAGACCCCACCCAAGGTACTCTGTGTGTAATGACTGGAGACCCCAGAGTGCTCGTCCTGACTTTCTGATCTGTATGCTCTTCCCCAAATGTCACCCAGCCTCTCTAGTTACTACTTCACAGGCCACCAGGAGGCAGAGCTGCCTAGAATTTCAGCCAGGCAGGGTCTGTGTGTTGCAGCAAGACTGGATAGTAGGTGTTGTTTCTTGCCCACAGAACGCAGGAAGGGGCTTCTCTTGCCCGCTTTCCATGTAGAAAGGAGGTGGCAGGAGGCAGACATGCAGGAGGGGAAGATCTGGGCATCTTCAAAGCTCACACACATTACCTGGTCTCCCTGTATGTCACTGTAGAGAACACTTTTCCTCAGTCTCTTCTTTTCCTTGTGGTTTCTCCTGCCCTTCTACCTTGTATCTTTCCTCTCTCTCTCCTCCTGTTACTTCTGTTTTCCACCTTTCTTCTCCCTGCCTTTATCTTCTCTTCTGCACCTCCTTTTCTCTTTGGAAGCTCTGGGCTGGGACCCGCAGCCTTGCACATGCTAGGCCAGCACTTTGCCCCTGAGCTGCAGCCCAGTCTGTCTTGTCCCACCTCCCTCCCATCTCTAGCACATCCATTATCTTTACTTCTCTCTGGCATCTAGCCTCTTCCTTTACAAATTTTTCCTTATTTATCAGTCTGCTGTTTCTTTCCCCTTGTCTCAGCCCCTCCCCCAACACCTCCCCTTCTCCTCTTTCTTTCCTCCTTTCACCACCCGGCCTGTCCCTGTGTTCCTGCCCTAGGAGACCCCTTGCCGATCCACCACTACTTCCATGGCTACCTGGCTGGTTTCAGCGTGCGCTCAGGTCGCCTGGAGAGCCGCGAGGTCATCGAGTGCCTCTATGCATGTCGGGAGGGGCTGGACTATAGGGATTTCGAGAGCCTGGGCAAAGGCATGAAGGTATAGACCCTCCCCGAGTCCTCTCCATCCCAGCATGGCCCCTGCCCCTCCCCGCCCCATCTCTCCACCTGTGCTTCTTCCACCCTTGCCTCCTGGTCCCGCTCTCAGCTGTGTCTGTGTCTGGGGCCCAGGTCCACGTGAACCCCTCGCAGTCCCTGCTCACCCTGGAGGGGGATGATGTGGAGACCTTCAACCATGCCCTGCAGCATGTGGCTTACATGAACACTCTGCGCTTTGCCACGCCCGGCGTCAGGCCCCTGCGCCTCACCACTGCCGTCAAGTGAGTGCGGGGTGGGGGAGGGCAGTCAGAGCAGGCCAGTGTCTTACGGGTTGGCCTAATACGTTACCTAGAAATAGCCTTACCTCCCACGTTTTGTCTCTCTCTCTGAGCCCCCAGAGAGGACAGTTGACCTGCTGAAGGTCACATAGTAATGTTGGGAGAAGTGCCAGACTACCCCAGGAGCAATTCATTTTTTTTTTTTTTTTTTTAATGTATATGGTACAGGGTCTCACTATGCAGCTCAGACTTGTAGTGATCCTTCTCTTTTCAGCATTTCCAGTGCTGGGATTGGGGTTGGGGATTGGGGTTGCCTGGCAAGCGCAAGGTCCTGAGTTCAATCCCTGGTACTGCAAAAAAAAAAAAAAAAAAAAAAAAGTGTGATCATCCACATGGACTAGATCGCTGGCTCAGCACACCCGGGGGCAGGGCCAGCACAGCTTGTACTGGGGATCGAACCCTGGTCTCTGCACTTGCCTAAGCAGGTGCTTAGTCTGCTGAACTATCTTGCCAGCCCAATCTCACGGTTTTAACAGTCCCTTTGCTAATATGTAAAGTGGGACAGAGAGACCAGGAGCTGGGGGACCTGATGTTAATCTGGTTTAACACTGATTGGCTGGATGACCTTGGGCAGAGAACAAACTCTGGTTGACTTTGTCTGTTCTAATCTTGCTTCGCTAAGACCCTGCAAGGCAGATAAATGTGAGGATCCAAGTTTAGGGGTTGGTAACCTATGGTCTGAGGCTTACTGTCTGCTTCGTAAGCACACTTTTATTGGAACACGACTTGGCTCAAGGGCTGGAGCACAGGGTGTATATGGACCAAGAAGACAAGGTTATACACTGTCCTGCTCCTTTATGGAAAAAGTTTGCTTTTCTCTGAATTCCAAGTGAATGGTTTTGAATTCTTTAAAAGAAAGATTCTAGGGGCAGGGGAGATGGCTCAGTAGGATAAGCACTTGACACAAACACAAGGATCTGAGTTCAATCCCCAGTTCCAAAAAAAAAAAAAAAGGAAGATTCTAGATTATTTCAAGGCTTGAGCATTCATTAGTACTTAAGAATACAGATTGTGGGCTGGGTAGATAGCTCAGTAGAATAAGCACTTGCCTGGCAAGCGTAACAGCCTGAGTTCAATGCCCAGTTCTGCAAAAACAAAAAACAAATAAGAATACAGATTAAGAGTCAATGAGAGCATAGATAACAAAGACTCTGTTACTAGTTTTTAAAATACAATTGGAAAATGAGACATAATAATAGATTCTAACCATTGGAATCATTATGAGAACTAAGTGATATAATCCAGATCAAATGCTTACCAGAATCCAGGTGTGGTGACACATTCCTACAGTCCCAGTGCTCAGGAGGCTTGAGGCAGGAGGATTGATGTGAGTTTGGGGCCAGCCTGAATTTTGTAGTGAGACCCTGTCAAAACAAAACAAAAAGACAACAATAACAACAAAACCCTACCAGAACACCTAGTCTGTAAAGATTGATTGTTCTTGTCAGAAAGGATTTTCACCCCTCATGGTACATGGGCCCATGTTTTGAAGATGCTGTCATCAAGCGGGTTCATTACATGATCTGGAAGTCAGGATTCCTGCGTTCTTCCCACTCTGCCTCAGTTTCTCCAGCTATCTGAAAGTGTATGTCTCTGACTTGTCCTGAGGGTTCTAAGCGCCCTGGCTAGTAGGCCTGGTTATCGGGCCTCACACCTGGGGTGGTGGAAGGCGCAGGCTTTGAGAGTTGGGCCATTGGTCCCTGGTGCCTGGTCTTGGTGCAGAGCTGAAGGGCATGGCCATTGACATCATGCAGGCCCAGAGCTGAGCTGAATGGGCTCTCACCATGCCTTTGTGAGGACTCTAGCTGTTATAGAGTTACCACCCAGTCCCTGAGGGTTCCATCCCTCAGAGGCCAGGGAATCATTGACACTGAATCAGTGTCCTCAGGATCCACATCAGAAGGGAGAGCCCTGGTTCTGCCCAGTGTGGAGCTCAGCAGGAGGAGTCTTCATAGGGAAAGAGTTGACCTCCTCTGTTACTGGCTCAACTGCACTCCTCCTGCTTCTTTCAGGCTTAGATGGAGCCTTGCATATGCTTCCACATCCCAGGGTGTGGATCCCGTTGTTGGTCCTTTGGAAGAGGGAAGGAGCCTTGATATTTTCTCATGTGGTTAAGAAAGATAGATTTGTTTTTCCATGTCTAGGCCTCCCTTATGGTTAGTGTCATCTTAATGCTTCCTGAGAGTGTGGGGCAGAATATATATATATATA